AGAACCTAGGTATATGGAATCAATTATACATAGCTTATATAAAGAATCAAAATAATGCCCACAAGCAAAATAAATCTTATTGGTGTAGGATCAAGATAAGTATCAAGATTTTTTTGTAGAGTTCACCAATGCATTCTAAATACCCAATTAAGATGGTTAAGTTTATAATTAAGTTAAATGTTAATTTTGGTCCCTCAACTTTATTTAGTTGCACTTTTTTGGTCTTTAAACTATTTTTTGCATTTTTTGATCCCTAAACTCTAAGAACTACACAATTTTGATTCTTCTGTCAGTTTAGGCTGTTAACTCCGTCCATGTGGCATTTTTTTATATTTTTTGATGACATGGATAATCCAACTGAAAAAAAAATGATGACATGGATCATCCAACTAGAAAAAATGATGACATGAATAAATAAAATACCACATCAGATAAATCTTTATATTTTTAATATTAAAAAAACCTCTCGACCTATCTTCCCCCTCTTTCTTTCTCTTTCTTCCTCCTCCTGTTGTTACCTCCTCTGTTGATCAAACCCAACAAAGCTAGGATCCATTAAACCTTCTCCCCCCTTTTTCTCTTCTTCCCCCTCTTGCTTTCTCTTTTTTCCTCCTCCTGTTGCAACCCACTGAACCTACTTCCCCCTCTTTCTTTCTTCCTCCTTTGGCTATTGGGTTCCACAGAACCCAACAATCTGCGTTAAACGAACCTAGTGCTAGGTTCCGTGGAACCTAGCAACATGGGTTCAAGGAACCCGAATTTCTAAGTTTTCAAACTCATGTTTATAGATTTTTTTTTTGTTTAGTAACTCTAGCAATTTCTATGCATATATTGAACCCTTTTGTTTGATGGATTTTTGTTTCAAATATTGTGGTTGTGGGATGGTAATTTAGTATTATTAATGCTGCAAAATTTTGTTTGTATGTTTTGGTTTGGCTATTTCTCTTGTGAGTATATGATCATTAAGTTGGATTGAAGTAGTATGAATTTTTAAGGTTTTGATTTGGTTTTGAGAAAGCAAGAAGGGGGAGAAGGTTCAGTGGATCCTAGCTTTGCTAGGTTCGGTCAGCAGAGGAGGTAGCAGCAAGAGGAGGAAGAAAGAGAAAGAAAGAGGGGGAAGAAGATAGGTCGAGAGGTTTTTTTTATTTTTATTAAAAATATAAAAATTAATATGATGTGGTATTTTATTTATCTATGTTATCATTTTTTCTAAGTGGATGATTTATGTCATCATTTTTTTCCAGTTGGATTATCTATGTCATCAAAACAATATAAAAAATGCCACATAGACGAAGTTAACGACTTCAATTGACAAAAGACCAAAATGGTGTAGTTTTTAGAGTTAAGGGATCAAAAAAGTGCAAAAAATAGTTTAGGAACCAAAAAAGTGCAACTCAATAAAGTTGAGAGACCAAAATTAGCATTCAATCTTATAATTATGCTAAAAATAATCATCCCACAAAGAAGAACGCTACATAAAAAATTCTTTTATATAAAGGGTAAACATTGGAACATGATGATATTTGACTTGTCTTGAAGAGTACTAAAAGAGGTAAAATATAAAAATGATGCTCATTAGTGAGTATAAAAATGATGTTCATTAGTGAGCTAACATCTGTACTAGGGATAACATTTGACTCACATTTATCAGTGATTCAATTGGGTGCTCAAAATTTAGTCTTATTAGCCTATACAGTTATCATAAGGATAATTTCTTTTCCAGTAAAAATGTTTAAACTTGAATGTTACACAAGAATGAAGCATAGGAATTATTATTATCCGTTGCTAAGTTTCATTTAGCAAACTGAGCCACCAAATGAAGCATCTCATAGGATGAACAATATAAAAGCAGATTCCTCTATGAACAAATGCATGCCGTCATAATAGCATTGATTTCAGAAAGTTACATGGGGAAGAGACCGCATGATTGATAGCAGCATGCATTTTCTTTCCTAGTTTTTTTTACTTAAATCCATTCTAGAATTTATGTGCTTGTTAATTTCTTATATTTTTATCTTCCTAGAATGAATTTGAATGAGTAATAAAAAAGGCCAAGGATGCATTTTGTGTATCAAAGAATGAGAAGGTTTTGAATAAAAGTCTCTTGATAGATTAAGATTTAAATCTATGCCATCAGTTTTGTTTTAAATTGAGTCCAACTATGAGTCATAAATAGAATACTAACTAGATTTTCACCTAAGTTTTTCATCAATCCAGTGAATAAACATAATCATCTTTAAAATCCTTAGTTTTACTTAGATACAAAAGTTGGTGACCATCGAGAATTGAGAGAAAACTCAAGTTTTTGGCTCTTTACCAATGCAACTCAAAAGAAAATAACCTCCTCTAATTTTTTTGCACATATTATTTTAATTTGATCTAATTAACAAATAGAAATTCTCACACAAAATTGACAAAAGACCTGATTGAGTTTTGAAATAATTTTTATTATTTCAAATTTCAGATTTTTTTGTCTTGATTTTATTTGAGTAAAATTCTTTTAAGTTCTAATCGTATTATATATACACATA